ACACACATTTCACACTCGGGGGAGTGCCTTCTGCACCCACACTCCCAGCACGGTGACTGCAGAGGCAGAGCAGCCGGCAGCCAGGCCGACACCCGTCTTAGCTTCCCAGCAGCCCTGGGGGGTGGGGGAGAGTGAGAGGAAGGGAGTGAGAGAGATACATTGATGTGTTGCCGCCTGACCTAGGCCAGGGGTGGAGCCTGCAGCCCAGGTCCATGCCCTTGCCCGGGAATCGAACCCAGAACCCTTCAGTCCCAGGGCCGATGCTCTATCCACTGAGCCACACCGGCCAGGGCTTCCCCAAGTGTTTCCAGTGACCGCAGCTTTAAGGCCACCAGGGCCCCCACGGATCCGAAAGCTCAGGGCACTCAGCCCCCGCCCCCTCCCCGGGTAAGCTGGGCCCCCACACATGTCCTCCTGCTTTCCTCTTTGTCAGGAATGTCCAATGTCAGGAAAGATGGTTTTCCTGAACACACAGGCCTCTCTGTAAAAAAAAAAAAAAAAAAAAAAAAAAAAAAATATATATATATATATATATATATATATATATATATATATACACATGTATTTTTAAAACATATTTTATTATTTTATTTTATTTTATTTTTTTTTGCAGAGAGGAAGAGAGACGGATAGAGAGTTAGAAGCATCGATGAGAGAGAAACATCCACCAGCTGCCTCCTGCACACCTCCCACTGGGGATGTGCCCGCAAAAAATGTACATGCCCTTGACCGGAATCGAACCCGGGACCTTTTAGTCCGCAGGCCGATGCTCTATCCACTCAGCCAAATACTAAGCCAAACCAGTTAGGGCCTTTTTTTTTTTTTTTTTTTTTTTTTTTTTAATTGATTTCAGAGAGAGGCAGGGAGAAGGAAAGAGAGAGAAACACCCATGACGAGAGAGAATCATGGACCGGCTGCCTCCTGCACGCCCCCTCCTGGGGATGGACCCCGCACCCCGGGCCTGTGCCCTGACCGGGAATCGAACCGTGACCTCCTGGTTCCTAGGTGGATGCTCAGCCCCTGGGCCACGCCGGCCGGACCAGACCAGCCTCCTTTTATGGCAGGAAACACGTGGGAAGTGACATCGAGCCGCGGCCCCTTAGGGGAGGGGGGGGGGACACGGAGGGAGACCTAGTGGCCCTCAGACCCCGCTCGGCCACCCACGTTTCGGGGCGGCGTCTGGAGGGACCCGGGGGCGGGGGGTGAGTTTACAGAGACCGAAAACCCACGGGAGGGGATTTTCAGGGAGGGTCTGCTCAGCGCCGGCTCCGTGGCACCAGCCGATCCGGGCCTGGTGTGTTTACGTTGCTATTCATTCTTGGCCTGAAAGATAAATACGGAATGGAGGGAGGGAGGGAGGGAAGGAGGGAGGGAGGGGGTGTGGGAGGCAGAAAAACACCCCCATAGTGTAAAGAAATAGGAGAGAGACAAAACCGTCCATTCAAACCCAAACAAACAGGCCTGGCCGGGCGTCGACCCCCCCTGTCACCCTGTCGCACCTCGGCCGGGGTGAGCAGACAGGTGAGGACAATGCCGAGCTGGGTGGCTCAGTGGTTGGGCGTGGGCCTGTGAGCCAGGAGGTCACGGTTGGATTCCCGGTCAGGGCTCAGGCCCGGGTGGCGGGCTCCATCCCCAGTAGGGGGCGTGCAGCCCACCACCCAGGATTCACCACTTTTTCATCTGAAAAAAAAAAAAAAAAAAAAAAATCATTCCGCGGAGGGGGGCATGCTGCCAGTGAATCTCAGGTCAAGTTTTTATCACCCCCTTTTCCTCCCACAAACTCTCTAATAATTTCCTCCGCATCAAGCCTCTCGGCGCAGCCCGCCCGCCCGCCAGCCCCTCATTACCCGGCCTTTGTGAGTAAGCGCATCTCGGGGCTGCTCAAAGGCACGGCCGGCCCGGCTAATAGCGGGGTGCGGGGTTCCCCCCTTTCATCTCCCCGGGGAGGGGGTCCGGGGGCGGCGGGGAAGGGGTGGGGGGCAGGCCGGAGCCCGGGAGCCAGCCTGGCTCGGGGATGAGGCAACCGGCTGGCTGGCTGGCGGCTGCCAGTCGAGGGCGTGCTGGCCTCCTCCGGGGCGTGCAGGGCCCCAGTCTGGGGGATCGTCCCAGCAGGTGAGGGGCCTGCGGGCAGGAGCCCTCTGCATTGTTTGTTATTTTATTATTTTTTGTTCATTCTCACCGTTGGATATTTTCCCATCGACTTCTCCGGGGAGTTGGAAGACAGAAACGACGATATGAGCCCTGGCTGGTGTGGCTCAGTGGATAGAGCGTCGGCCTGCAGACTCAAGGGGTCCCAGGTTCGATTCCAGGTCAGGGGCCTGTGCCTTGGCTGCGGGCACATCCCCTGTGGGAGGTGTGCAGGAGGCAGCTGATGGATGTTTCTCTCTCATCGATGTTTCCAACTCTCTCTCCCTCTCCCTTCCTCTCTGTAAAAAATCAATAAAAAAAAAAATATATATATATATATTTTTAAAAAAATGTGGCTCTCAAAAGAGATTTCAATCGTGCTGTTGATATTTGGCTCTGTGGACTCATGAGTTTGCCGGCCACTGCTTCAGGTGATCTAGGAGGAAAGAGACGGTGTAATGAGAGGATAATGCTAAAGATACATGAATTACCTTTGTGATCGTAGGAGTCCACGTGAGCTCCAGCCTCCGTGGCAATACCTGGCAGGGGCCACTTCAAATCTTTCTTGGTCTTTAAGCTACTCTAAGCTCCCCCATCAATTGTGGACCGAAGGTCCCGGGTTCGATTCCCGGTCGGGGCACAGGCCCGGGTTGCGGGCTCGATCCCCAGTGGGGGGCGTGCAGAGGCAGCCGATCCGTGTTTCTCTCTCATCATCAATGTTTCTCTCCCTCTCTCTCCCTTCCTCTCTGAAACCAATAAAAATGTATTTAAAAAGAAATCTGTGCTGCCGAAACCGGTGTGGCTCAGTGGTAGAGCGTCGGCCTGCGGACTGAAAGGTCCCGGGTTCGATTCCGGTCAAAGGCACGTACCTTGGTTGCGGGCACATCCCCGGCAGGGGGTGTGCAGGAGGCAGCTGGTCCATGTTTCTCTCTCATTGACGTTTCTAGCTCTCTCTCTCTCTCCCTTCCTCTCTGTAAAAAATCAATAAAATATATTTTAAAAAAAATCTGTGCTAAGAGCATATAGCTTTTTGCCCGGCCTGTGTGGCTCAGTGGTTGAGCGTCGACCTAGGAACCAGGAGGTCAGGGTTCGATTCCCGGTCAGGGCACAGGCCCGGGTTGCAGACTGGATCTCCAGTGTGGGGCGTGCAGGAGGAAGCTGATGCATGCTTCTCTCTCCTCATGGATGTTTCTCTCTCTCCCCCCTCCCTTCCTCTCGGAAGAAAAAGATTAAAAAATAAACAAACACAGAGGATACAAATCCATTTCCTTTCGTCCCATGAGATGTGGACATTATATATTTTTTGGTTTATTAATCAAGGAGATAATGTTTTACCGAGAGCGGCCCAGCCCTTTCTTGCAAACCGCCTTTCAGCTGCACAAACAGCGCCCCGCTGACATCATCTTGGAAGAGGGACCGCCTCGGGGCTTCCTAGCGATTTCTCACAGCTGGGCCCCCCCCTACGGAGCTGGAGGAAGCGGCTCAGATGGCCCCTTCCTGGCTCCATCCATGCGGACCCAGGCCTGGACGAGTCTGCAGCCAGATTCCCCCTGCAGAGCGTCCAGCGGCTCCATCAAGTGCTAAACCTCATCCCCCCTCCCCCCCATCCCTCGTCAGCCCCAGGCCCTCCTGAATGGAGCGATGTGTCCCAGAGGAAGTGTGAAACGCAAGTGTTTTCTGTTATTATTATTATTACTACTATTACTTTTTTTTTTTTTTTTGCTTTTGTCTCCTGCAGAGTAAGCAGTGACCTCAGACGCGCTGTTCCGGGCTGAGGAAGGCCGGGGTCCAAACTCTGTCTTCAGCCAAAGTGTGGCAGACACGAGGCAGGAGGGGGTGGGGGGAGCCAGGCCCCCCAAAAGGCTTGGGAATGGAGCAACACGTGGAAGCATGGGGCAGGCGCTGGTTGGCTGGCATCGGCAGAGTGTGATGAAAAGATAAAATAAAAAAAAGGGTGGTGGTCGGGGTTAAGAACCGCCTCATCGGGGCTAAAACGATTCTATGTTCTGTATCCCATTCCCATCCCATTCCCGACGGTCTGGTCGCTGGCCGGATGGGGCTCGGTGGGCTGAAGGGTCGCTGGTTCGATTCCTGGGCAGGGCACATGCTCAGGTTGTGGGCTCGAGCGTGCAGGAGGCAGCTGGTGGATGTTTCACTCTCACATGAATGCCCCTCTCTCTCTCTCCCTCCCTCTCTCTCTCTAAAACTCAATTAAAACAAGTTTTTCCTTTTAACATTTATTTTTATTGATTTCAGAGAGGAAAGGAGAGGGAGAGAAAGAAATGTCAGTGATGAGAATCATGGATCGGCTGCCTCCTGCAGTTCCCACACTAGGGGACGGAGCCTGCACCCCGGGCCTGTGCCCTGACCGAGAATCGAACCCTGATCTCCTGGTTCCTAGGTGGACGCTCAACCATGGAGCCACACTGGCTGGGCCAATTAAAAAAAAAAATCTTAAAAAAAAAAAAAGTCCTACCTGATTTGGCTCAGTGGATAGAGTGTCGGCCTACAGACGGAAGGGCCCCTGGTTCGATTCCGGTCAAGGGCATGGACCTTGGTTGCGGACACATCCCCAGTTGGGAGTGTGCAGGAGGCAGCCGATTCATGATTCTGTCATCATGGATATTTCTCTCTCTCTCTCTCTCTCTCTCTCTCTCTCTCTCTCTCTCTGAAATCAATAAAAAAAACATTTAAAGAAAAAAAAACAATACCAACGAAGGAAGGTGTGAGACTTTTGTTTCCTTTCGAGAAAGAGCTGGGAAGTATTAAACCGTTATCAAACCATTAAGGCCGACTAGAAATAACACACAATTCCAGGAAGTGTTAAACCAGATGGAAGTTTTTTTTTTTTTTTTTTTAATTCAAATTGACCCAAAGCAAAACAAACTTTACATTACAAAGGAAGAACAAAAAAATACAGTATGAGAGAACACACTAGGAGTTACAGGAAAAGTTAAATTTGGGGGCAGAGGGCCTCGTCCGGGTAGCATCCTGGGCATTCTCGTCGCTTAGCTGACACACGTGGCGCTCGCTCCCGCCACGTGCCACGTGGGCCCGGGCCACGGATACGGCCACGGCCACGGGCCACGGGCCACGGATTCTCTCTCGGAAACACGTCCCAAGCACGACTGATCATAGGACTCAGAGAATAAGAACGTCACGTCATCCTGACGTGCAAGCGCGGGTTACTTTCTGTAGTCAGTAAGTTTAGAAAGATGGGCATTAAATAATCTAAAAAAAAAAAAATAAAAATAATAAAAATAAAAATAAAAAATAACCACACACTCTCGCTCTGCTGTACACGTATGAACACAAATATTTACACGGGGAGGGGAGGGGACGCGCGGGGTCAGAAACAGATGAGGTTTGCAGTTCGCGGGTGATGGCAATCTCTCGGGGGCTGGATTCTTTGGTGTACGCGCCAGATACGTGTTTATATGCGAAGGTTTTCCGGAGGCCTCAGTCCTAAATCTTCAGAGCAAACAGGGAGGATCCGTGACCAACCGAATGCCGCTCTGAACACCTCCGTCAGGATCCCGGGAAAAGCAATCGGTGGATTTTTTTTTTTAATTTTTATTTTTTTTTCTGAAAAATACTCCTTTCTCTCTGCTCCTCGTGGGACCCCGGGACGGATGCTTCCAGAACAATCCGATTCGAACACGGACCCCGCACGTGGGTCCCGCCGTCCCACGGGGGACCGACCGCCGGACGATGTAGTGACTGAGAAAGAACAGCTGATGTGATTGGGGGGATGGGGGTGGGGGGTCTGTTACCAAAACAATAAAAAAAAAATATATATATATATATATATATATATATATATAAATGAAACATTCTTTTGAAGCGTCCGGAGAGATCGAACCTCAGACAATAAATAAATAACGGGACCCGGATGCTCGCCTTCGTTCGGTGGGAATCTCAGTCCCGCAGGGAGCTCTCTCATCACTGTCTTGCGACACAGGACGGAGAATTCACCTTGGACTTGAACTCGGTGGCCTGCTCGGGGAGGAGAAAGCTCGGGACGGACCGCTGAGAGAGAACACACACACGCGCAGGCGGAGAGAGGGCCCCGTGCCTGCCTGCGGGGCCTGGTGTTCTGGGGGAGAAGGCAGGTTCCATTCACTCCTGGCCGGGCCGCGTCCCGGATGTTAAAGGATCCCTATGCGGCTTGGCCTCCGATGTCCCGAGCGAGGGAAGTGAGCTTCTCGGGGCTGTTTTTACGGGGAGAGGGACACGTCGCCTCGTCCTAGCCTCCTGGCCGCGGTGACACAAGCCGGCCGCACGCTCCCGGCTCCCCCACCGGCGCCCCCCGAGGCACCACCCTCTTCCCAAAGGCGCCCCCCCCCCCCCCCGATTCGCTGTGGGGACGGCTTAGGGCCGCAGGAGCAGACACTCAGACGAGAGGGCATGGTTCCCCGAGGCGATGGGCACCGTCCCGGACGTTGGAGAAGGCTTTTCGGGACCGGGACGCCCCGTCGGGCAGGGCGCCCGCCTCCGAGGGCCTCGCCCCGGATCCCCGCGGCTTCCGGAAGCTTCTACGCGTTATCACGGCCGTGTTTTCATGCTGCCGGCCCCGCCGACCCAGAGGACAAGGTCCCCGTGGATGATCGCACGGCGGGCACATCGGGGGGCTCACCAGATTCGCCGACGATGCGCACCGACGGGGAATGCCACCCTTCGGAGATCCGGCTTCACCGGGGAGGGGAAAAACCCCACGGAAACCCCACACAGGACACGAACAACAGCACGGAACCGCCTTGAGGGAGCTCACCGGCACAGCCACGGGGTTAATGCCGTCTGGGGGCTCCCTCTCCCGCCCGGATAGGACACTGCTGAGGTGCTTTAGAAAAACGGGGGACTGTGGCCTTAGAAAGCGATGTTTTCTCCTCTCCCCCCCCCCCCCCCCTCTCTCGTTAGTTTTTTAAATTTTTTTATTAAAGCACTATTCCCACAGGGACCTGGGGAGGCCCCGTGTCCCCGGGGCAGCGCCCTGCGGGGGTTAAAAAAAATTAAGTTAAAAACAACAGCACGCCCACTGGGGAAAGAGAGAGGTACTGGGGTTTGGCGCCCCCCCCTCCCCCAATCCCCCTGCCTCCCCACCCCCGAAGGCGACAGGAACTAGGAAAGAAACCGATTCAAACAGCCGATCTGTATTCGTTAAAAAAAAAACACAAAAACAAACAAACAAAAAAAACCCCAAAAACTGACGAGGGGACAGGAGTACTTACAAAATTTTTGGGGGGGTTGCGGGGGGAGGGGGGGCGCAGAGGGAGGGAGGGGTGCATTTTCCAGTAGAACCCAGAACCCCCTCTTGGGCGGGGCGGGGACTGGCGACGTTATTACATGTGACCCTGCTGGTTCGGAACATGCACAGAGGCCCGGGAACCCGTGACATCGGCCGGGGGGGCCCCCCCCCCAGCCCCCGCGTGCGTGACCGTGAACATGGTGGTGGCGGCATCGGAGAGAAGGCTTGGACCTCCCCAACCTGGACCAGGAAACCGAATTAAGATCTTCAAGCACATGGTGTGTTTACAGGTAGTTATATATATATATATATATATATATACACATATACATATACATATATATATACACACACACACACACACACACACACACACATATATAAAACCAACGACCCCTCCCGAGCCAATGCAAACCAACCGAAGGAACAACGGAAAAATAAAAAAATAAAAACGAACAAAGAACAACAACAACAACAACAACAACAACAAAAAAGTCTAAAAGTGTACACCTGCTTTCTGACTTCGCAGCGGGTCAGAAATTGCATAGGATATACTTTGTGCTGGGCCGACGGCCCCAGGGGAATCCGGAACGGAGGGCCCGCAGCCTGGCGTCAGATGCCGTCGAATTTGTGTTTTAAGTAGTCCTTGATGACCTTGGCAATGGGCAGGTCGTCAAGTAGCTTTAGGTTCTGAAGGCCTATACACTGCCGGATTTTGATTCGGCACAGGTCCTGCAAGTTGCGGGGCTGCCCTGGAGAGAGAAATGGGGAGAGAGAGAGAGAGAGAGGGGGAGAGAGAGAGAGAGAGAGAGAGAGAGAGAGAGAGAGAGAGAGAGAGAACACGGTTACATGGCGGGACATGGAAGGCAGGCCCCTGGCAGGATCTGAAAACCAGTGTGTGTGTGTGTGTGTTTGTGTGTGTTTTGGTTTGTTCTGTTAAAAATATGTTTTTAGTTTTTAAAATACATTTTATTGACTTTTTTTATAGAGAGGAAGGGAGAGGAATAGGGAGCCAGAAACACCCATGAGAAACACCCATCAGCTGCCTCCTGCACACACCTCCCACTGGGGATGTGCCCGCCACCAAGGTCCATGCCCTTGACCGGAATCGAACCTGGGACCTTTCAGTCCGAAGGCTGACGCTCTACCCAGTGAGCCACACCGGTTAGGGCTATAAAGGTATTAAAAAAAAACCCCAAAAACCCCAAACTATTTTATTGATATTTTACAGAGAGGAAGGGAGAGGGAGAGAGAGTTAGAAACATCATTAGAGAGAAACATCCATCAGCCGCCCCCTGCACACCCCCCACTGGGGATCAGGCCCCCAACTTGAGCCGCACCGACCAGGGCCGACCACGGAGCCAGCGCCTGGAATCTCTTTGGAGAGAGAGCCACGTGTTTTTACACGTAAACGTCTTCCGACGCCACTTCTTCAATGCGGACGTGCCCGGGGCCGTGGTGTTTTGTGCAAGAGCCACGCGCAACGGGCCAGACAGCCGCAGGTTTGAAAGTTAATTCTTTGTGAGGACAGAAGGCTCCTTAAAAAAAATTCGGACCTCTGTTCTTGGGAGGCCCGTGGGGAAACACGTGTTTCCTGAGGGTTATTGAACACATACATGTAAAGGGGGCTCTTAAAAAAGAATCACAGCAGCAGGACCTGAGCTTTCAAAGCCTGTCTGACCCCGTGGGACCCCGTGGGACCCCGTGGGACCCTGTGTCTGCAGAACAAACATTCGGGACATCCATCGCGCCTGACGCAAAGTCTCCAGCCAGACTCCCCGCGCCTGACTGCCCGGCTCACCGCTTGCAACCCATCAGGCCTCGGGCTAGCCCCCCCCCCCCGCCCCCCATCCTCACCTGGCCACTGAGGACACCATCCCCATGTTCACCTGGCCACTGAGGACAAGCCCCACCACCGGCACCACAGGCCTGAGACACGTTAATAACCTGGGCCGCGGGCTCGGAATAGAACCGGGCACGCGGGAAGAGCTATATAAGCCTCTGAGTACACAGACAGCCACAACAGCCCCATTTAGATCCTCGTTAAAAAAAACAAACAGGTGTTTGCTTCTCCCGCCCAGAGGGGCGGGGGGCCCCGGCCTGGGGGCGGGAGGCGCCGTCCTCCCAGTCCTCCCAGTCGGTGCTCAGAGGGACGTGCGAGCCGTCGAGGTGTGAGCGACCGGTGGCCCGGCCGACGGATGGAAATGAGATTCTGGAAACCACCGCAGGGCTTGAGTCAGGTGGGAGCACTCTCTGTATACAAAGATGTGCAGCCCTAGCCAGTGAGGCTCAGTGGATATAGAGCATCAGCCTGTGGACTGAAAAAGGTCCCGGGTTCGATTCCGGCCAAGGGCACGTGCCTCGGCTGCGGGCTCCATCCCCAGGCTGGGCCCTGGTCCGGGTGCATGCACATGGATGCTTTTTTCTCTCTCTATCCCCTCCTCCCTTCTACATTCAAAAAAAAAAAAAAAAAAAAAAATCAATGGAAAAATATTCTCGGATGAGGATTCACAAAAAATAAAAAGTTGTGCAATCAAGTTCCCCAATTCCCCTGCCCCTGCCCGGGGTTACCACTTTGGGAATAAAAAATTATGATTGGGGGGAGGGGGGGCGCAAGGACTTATTTTCTTTCTTTAAAAAAACTTAAAAAAAATTGATTTCAGAGAGGGAGAGAGAGAGAGAGAGAAAGAAAGAAACATCCATGATGAGAGAGAACCATGGACCGCCCCCCATTGGGGACCGAGCCCGTCGGCCTGCGCCCTGACCGGGAATCGAACCGTGACCTCCTGGCTCCTACGTCGATGCTCAACCACGGAGCCACGCCCGCCGGGCGAGACTCACTTCTTGAAAGTATTAAGGGAACCCCTACTATGCACGCAAAGATGCATTGCCCCGAATGTGAAAGGGGAGAGGAGGCGGCAGTGGCCGAGGAAAAGGGGTGGAAGGAGAAACGCCACACACACACACACACACACACACACACACACGTGCACATGCACATACGCGCATGCACACACACACGCATGCACACGCACGTGCACGCCTTTACGAGGTGTCTCAGGAAGGGATGCCTCCCGTTACATAACAGCGGGGAGGGGGGGGCGCAGTGGCCAGACGGGGTGTCCCCGGGGCCGGTGCACAGGGGAGCGTAATTTCAGGAATCACAGCGAAGTGGGGGTGCTCCCCGGCTCCGGCGGGGTTATGGGGTTACGTAACAGTTCAAAGGGGCCCGTGGGGAGGGGGAGGAGGGAGGCAGGCAGGCGGGCGGGCCGTCATTAGCGGTAACTGGGCTGGCGGGGAGCGGGAAGCCAGCGTCTGAAGGGCCCCGTCGAGCGCGGATCACAAAACCCCAAACCCGGGGCGTCCTTTGGGAAATTAACCCCCCCCGTCCCCGGGGGCCCCTTTGGGGTGCTGCCGCTCCCCTAATTCGAGACGGAGCTGCGGCTTCCTATCGGGACAAGGTGTATCGGCCGGAGTGGACGACAGAGAGGGCGAGACGCTGGCACGGACCCAAAGGGCAGAAATAAGAGCAAAGCAGGGTGTATTTTTTTGGGGGGTGGGGGGTGGGGAGAGACGGAGATGGGGAGGAGGGAGTAGAAAACAGACAATCCCCCCATTCTCCCCCTCCCCCCAAAGCCACGAACAACCACGACCCCACCCCAGTCCCTGCACGGGGACCTGGTCCGCGGGGCCTGGCTCGCCCCACAGAGAAGCCACGGCCGGCGCTGTCCACCGGGGGGCGCTGCCGCCGGCTCGGCCCTCGGCTCGGCGGGACCCCCAAGGCCCGACTTCAGCCCCCGGTGACATTCGTCCCCGAGGTGACGACAGTATTTCCCACAGGGACCCGGGATTTGGTCTACATTGGCGTTTTGTTTTTTAATCCTCAACCCAGGATATTTCTCCATTGATATATGTGTGTGTGTGTGTGTGTGTGTGTGTGTGTATATATATGTGTATATGTGTATATATATGTATATATGTGTATATATGCGTGTGTATGTGTGCATATACATATGTGTGTATATGTGTGTATATATGTGTGTATGTATGTGTGTGTATGTATGTGTGTGTATGTGTGTGTATGTATATTTGTGTGTGTGTGTGTGTGTGTGTGTGTGTATACTTTTTTTTAGAGAGAGTGGATGGGAGGAAAGAGGGAGAGAGAGACAGAAACATCGATGTGAGACACACCGATTGGCTGCCTCCCGTACGCACCCAGGCTGGACGCCAGGGGCCGAGCCTGCGCGAACGAGGCCCGTGCCCTTGACCGGAAGCCAACCAGGACCCTTCTTCCTTCGGTCCACAGGCGGGCGCTCTAACCACTGAGCCACACCGGCCGGGGCCGACCTGCTGCATTTGCCGTGCGCACAACTAAAGCCAACCAAAACCGCACTTGCCGCTTCCCGGCCAACGACAGGCGATCGCCGGGAGCTCGCGCTTGAAGATAGAAAGCGCCACACACGCGGCGGAGAGCGGCCCAGGAGGGGGCCCTCCTCTGACACCGAGAGGGACCTTCGGAGGGGGTGTGACCTGACCCAGCGCCCGGGGCCGCTCATGTGTCTGTCTGTTCCTGCGGGTGATGCTAGTCGCCGGGGCGGACGGGGAGATGCCTGGCAAAACCCCCGACGACGACGACGAGGAGAACGAGTACATAAAATCGAAAACAGCCTCTGGGAAGCCAACGATTACTCCGGGGGGTGGGGTGGGGTGGGGGGTGGGGAACGCTGTCTTCTGACAGGTCATCCTGCGAGAAAACGCACAGGAACGGGCTCAAGGACCGTTTGAAAAATGAATCAAGAAAGACAAAACAGCCAGTGCGGCTCAGTGGATAGAGCATCGGCCGGCCTGCGGACTCGAGGGTTCGGTTCTGGGTCAGGGCGCACACACACACACACGCCTGGGATGCGGGCTCTGTCCCCATCCAGCAGGGGGCGTGCAGGAGGGCAGCCGATCCACGATTCTCATCACCGATGTTTCTCTCTCTCTCTCTCTCTCCCTCTCTCTCTCTCTTCCTTCCTTTCTAAAATCAATTAAAAAATACATTTTTTTTTTAAAAGAGTGGATGACAGCTGAGCAAGCGAGCGGTGGGGCACAGACCCACTGACGAGTGAGGGGCGCCCAGGCCCCGGCCCCTCCGGCCGCCGCCAGCCATGACACACACACACACACACACACACACACACAGGCCAGCGCCGGGCCAGGCCAGGCCGACGTGAGACCTGACATGCATGAGCGGCCTATTTACCTCTGAGCCTATTACCTAACACCTCGCCGTCTGGCTTCAATAAAAAAAAATTACAAGACGTGCTAAGAGGCATGAAAAGACACAGTCGGATGAGAGGGAGCGGGCGGCGGACCGGATGTTGGAGGGATCAGACGGGCGCTTTAAGAGGACTTAAGGGGACGGTGATTGCCCTGTGAACAGCGGGGGGGATGTTAGACGGGTGCCTGTCACACCCCAGCCTGGCCGGTGCGGTGCGGCTCCGGAGGAGTTCCTCCTCCTCCTTCGCTTCTCTCACCTTGACTCCGCTCCCTGTCGCTTCTGCGTGACTCGTCTAACTGAGCTTTTATGCCATCTTATGCCTTTCTGTTGCGGACAAACGAGGCGTGACTCTACAGAGCAGGGCTAACGGGCGCCACGCATGTCTGCTTACTGCTACTTCCCGAAAAAACAAAACAAAACAAAACAAAAACACCTGACAGCCCTGGCAAGTGCGGCTCAGTGGGTAGAGCCTGCGGACTCAAGGGTCCCTGGTTCGATTCCGGTCAAGGGCATGGACCTTGGTTGTGGGCACATCCCTGGTGGGGGGCGGGGGGTGTGTGTGCAGGAGGCAGCTGATGGATGTTTCTTTCTC